GCGCCTCGCAAGTGGCACGACACACTGAGGACGACGCTTGCGGCTCTTGGGTTTGCTCCTTCGACTGCTGACCCGTCGCTGGTTCTGCGCACCGACACTTCGTTGCCGCCGTTCTACATCCTCGTGTACATCGACGACTTGGTTTTTGCCACTGCTGAGACTGAGGCACTGGCCCTAGTGAAGTCGGAGCTGCAGAAGAGACACACGTGCACTGACCTGGGTGACCTGCGCAGCTCTCCTGGCTTGCAGATCATCCGGGACAGAGCACGGCGCACCATCACCTTGACTCAGTCACACATGGTGCACCAGGTCCTTCATTGCTTCCGCTTCCAGTACTCCTTGCCACAGTCCACTACTCTGCCTACCGGTCACTCGCTCTCAGCTCCACCTTCGGACGAGTCCGTAGAGCTGAGTGGCCCGTATCCAGAACTTGTGGGCTGCCTCGTATACCTGATGACCTGCACTCGACCTGACCTTGCTTACCCTCTTAGCATCCTGGCACGCTACATTGCGCCCGGGAGACACCAACCAGAGCACTGGAAGGCCGCTAAGAGGGTGTTGCGCTACTTGTGCAGTACGTCGGGCATGGGGCTCGTGCTTGGAGGACGAGGTCGAGTTGTTCTCACTGGTCACGCAGACGCGTCTTGGGTTGAAGACTTGGCTACGCAGCGGTCGTCACATGGTTACACCTTCAGCCTTGGCTCCGGTTCTGTTTCTTGGTGGTCTACCCGCTCGTCTTCTGTTCCCAGTTCCAGTTGTGAGGCTGAGATCTACGCAGGGGCCATGGCTGCACAGGAGTTACGCTGGCTCACCTACTTGCTGACCGACTTGGGAGAGCCGCCTCGTTCTCCTCCAGTTCTGTACGTCGACAACAAGGCCATGATTGCCTTGTGTCAGGAGCACAGACTGGAGCACAGAATGAAGCACATCGCTCTGCGTTACTTCCTTGCTCGAGAGTTGCAGCAACGTGGTCAGCTTCGTCTTGCTTACGTGCCCATGCGGGCCAACACTACTGATATATTCACAAAGGCACTTCAGCCTGATGATCATCAGCGTTTCTGTACTGTTTTAGGCCTTGTGCCTACTTTGCCTCACTTGCTCACTTCGTGACTTTGCTTGTACTGTGGTCTATATACTTATACCTGCATGCTTACACTTGCTAGGTTGTGATCACTGTACTGCTTGTTCCCATTTATATAACGCTGCATGAGAACTGGCCTTGTGGCCATTTGCTTGTGCTCAGAGTGTGTGGTGACTTCGTGATCCACCCTGAGCTTGCTTTGCCTTTTCTTGACTGGTCTTGTGACCCCTTGCTCCCCCCCACTTTGCCTATGGGGGTGTGTCAAACTATTATGTTGTGTGTGTTGTGTAGGCTGTAGTGGGGTAGCCCATATGGGGTACAACCCAATTAGGGTTAGTACTTGTACCAACTTTCTGTTCGATGCAATCATTCTCGCTTAGTCTTCTGACAGAGGTATCACGGTAACTGCCTTGCAGGTGTGGTGGTAGCGGCCCAACCCAATCGTTGGATGGACACTGCTAGAGTTGTCATGTGGCTTGACGAAAGCAGTGAAGCCCTTCATATAGCCCCTCTTTGGACCTTGTACGTGCTCGACGCTCCTCATTTTCGATTCCTATCGAGGACATATCACCTCCAAGGTCAATGACGCAGGGGGGGGCGATCAGCAAAGTCTCATCGAGAGAGGTGGTTGAGATTTCAGTCGATAATGCGCCGGTGCGACGATCCATTCGCCCCAATATTGTCGTGCTTCCACAACGTTATCGAAAAGTCTATCCTGCGTTCGCCAACACATTCTTCGACGACGCACATGCGGACGTTGCACTACTCTAGCTAGATCCTGACACGCACGAATATCCGAGTGGCGTTGGAACATCTCAACGATCACCGTCAAGGAAGCATTGGCGAGCTTGAAGGGCAATAAAGTGAAAGCGATAGTGGAAGAGGAGATACGAAGCCTTCTCGCCAACGATACGTAGGAGTTGGCGCCTCGACTGCGCGGCGTCAACATCATGAAGAACCGCTGGATTCTCATAAATGTCAGCAAGAGTTGTGTGTTGGCCCCATCCTCGCTTGGGCGGAGCCGACTTCGTGGTCGGGTGTGCGGGAGGTGCAGCCGGCCAACTGTAGTGGGCGACGCCGACTTAGGCGCGCAGGCCGACGGGCGTGATCGACCTGCACGGGGGGCGCTGCGAAGTTGCCGGTGACCGACTTCAACTGTGGTCGACGAGTCCCTTCGTCGACCAGGAAGGGCCGCCGACTTGGGAGGGCACCGACGTTGGAGGCCGACTTGGCGAAGTCGACGTACGGGGGACGCAGACTTAGTGGTGTCAACTAGGGGGAGCCGACTTGGTGCAGCCGGCGACTAGCAGGTCTGGTCGACCAGCAGAGGTCGACTTGGGGAATGGCCAACTTTGTGAAGCCGGAAGAAGGTGGTTGTCGGCCTGGTCGGTCGACGAGCACGTGGAGTAGTAGTTGGTCGACGTAGTTGCCTGGTCAACTAAGTTACCCAGGCGACGAGGTTCAACGGAAGTGTGCGACAGTTCTCCATGTGGTTCTGGCGAAGCCGACCTCGGAGGTGGCTGATCAGGCGCAGTCAATGGCACGTGGCCGACTTTGCGTCTGCGTTGTGCACGTGACGGTGCGCAACACGCCAATCAACTGCGAGCACATGCGAAGTAGCTGCACTGCTGTCATGCGGGTGCAACGCTGTGCAGCCGCCTTGCTGCAGCATTGGCACGCCACGTTGGCAAGTCGCCTTTCTGCAGCGCTGGAACAATGCGGACTTTGCAACGCTGGAACGCGGTCGACCTTGCTATGCTGGAGGTCGACCTGCCTTTGCGCCAGGCAGACTTGCATCTGATGTTGTCTTTGTTGCCAATATTGTTGCTATCATTGCTTGTGACTTGCTAGTGATACTATTGACAATCCTCCATATGAATGTGTGGGTAGAGAGAACACGAGCAATCATGCAAGGAACGATGCGATCACTCTCACAACCGTGCCTGCCCCGTAGTCTAGCTTCCGTTGTAGAGTTTAACTCCGCAAATAACAAAGTACACCGCCGACGACACGGTCGCTCGCGAGAAGACACGCCTTGTGATGAATGGTTTCATGCAGATCTACGGCTCTTGGCTATGACAAGGCATATGCACCGGTCAGCAGCTATGTCTCCCTGCGCATATTCCTCGCGTTCGTTGCCGCCCCCTCGATCCCGAGGCTGCCTCCTGTCGCGTTCGACTTTCCCTTACCCAACATGTACCCAACATCGATCCCCGAGGTTCAGCCTAGCTAGGATTGCCCACTATTTTATCTCGTCCCTTTCATTGTATCTTTAGTCCATTCAGTCACATTTTTTTTTCAGATCATGACACAAAGAATAATGTGCTTGCAAACTCTTTGGTTGTGCCCTTGTTGTTTGGCTGTACTATCTATATAATCTGCAAGTTTTTGTATACTCCTAAAAATGGTAGTGACAGTGCACCGTGCTCGCCTTGTAACGACCCGAGAGTTGAGGTGGATGGAGGTGTTGGTGGGATGAAAGGGTTGAGCAAACTCTGAAATATAAGAAGGTTTAAGTCGGCGGGACGCGTTACAGTATGTTTGAGAGTGTTTTTGTAGCATTCTTCCATGTGCAGTTTCCTGCCAAGTGGTGCCCTGCCCAACTGTGTGCCCCCATTCCCTCCCGCCCGATTCTGTACGTGTTCTTTATTACGGTTTTCCAACGGTCAAGAGAGTTTGGGTAATTACTTACAGCTGTCGAGTAGGATACAGAGGGCAACAAGCACACGAGTCTTGCTGCTCACACATCCACATTCACGCTCGACAGCCTAACAGTGGCACGCCACAGTGCACATCTCCTGTCTGGTCCTTGATACTGCTTTGCTCGATATTTTTGCACCTGTGCAGCAGAGCGAACCACCAAATGCTTCACGGTTTCTTTCCGTTCCGTGCATTCCCTTACCCTCTTACAACTCATTTGGTGTCGTCAAGTGTATCCTTGAAAAGCTCCGTTGAGCGAGTTCATAGTGCGGAGCGGAATACCACACAACGACTCGAGTTGATGGGACAAATCGCAACTTCATGCACGACCTTGTCCCATTCATAATAGTTTTAGGGTAGAGAAGAGAGCAGCTCAACGTCCAACAGATCGTCAGAAAGCTACGTGTATTCGTTTTATTTTCGGAAAACGCTGATAAGAAATGGAGCTGCTGCACTGATGTGGCTGCTCGCAGTGATGTGCCTGTGACACCAGTCGACAGTGCAAGAGGCGTAGCTAGCAATGCGGAGATAAAATGCGTCGACATGCCCTAGTAGGTGCTGCATGCCTATTTGAGTGGACACGTATAACTTATTACAGCAGTAATAGCATTTACGTTAGTTACGAGCCATCGGTATCAAGACTATGGTACTGTTCATCCAATAGATAACACATGCAATAGTAACCTTCGCGATGCATATCTTATTGGCCTCGATTCTACTTACACAGTAGCCAGTCGTACATTACGTTACTAGCACGCATATACGATCTTACATAACCTATGTTACCATGTTACCGCACGGTCGAGAGGTTGCCAGTTCTCGAGGATAGCGAAAAGGTAATTCGTACAGATGGAGTAACCTTCATGGGGAGTCCGCGCGGGTAAAGCAGAGGCGAAAAGCCGGGAGGAAGGGGGAAGCGATCGAAAAGCAAGGCGGAAGGCGAAAGTTTTTGAAACGTCTCAAAACACCCCCATTTCACGTGACGGAAGGTGACGGCAGAGGAACGCCCGTCTACGAGGGAGCTCAAGCGGAATCGAAGTGCAAGGCTTTAAGTCAAACGAAAGCATTCGGAGAAAGCCTGAGTAGAAGCTGTGGGCAAAATCGGTGATCCACTCCGGCGAAAGCGGGACGAAGACACAGCCTTCTGATTGGGTGGCGAAAGTTTCGAACTTCGTGATTGGGAGTTTTGCAAGCACGTGGCGAAGAATAATTCGTCGAGATGAATTTCTCACAGGATCGGTTCGATGCGGAGGCGTACGCGGAAGAGCAGATGGAGGAGAACGACGAATGGGTGAGTCCGATGGGGGGGCGGAGCGGTGCGACGGATTTAGAGGGATTGTGAGCGATTGTGAGCGACCATGAGCGACCATGAGCGACCATGAGCGATAATGAGCGACCATGAGCGACCATTCGCGATTATGGGCGCGATACTGAGACAAATGGGGGAGGCATTGTGTCTTTAGGGGGAGATGTCGGGACGGGTTTTGATTGGCGGACATTGTGACGAGTGGTGATACATTTTGAAGTCGTCCCTCCTCCTTGCTCACTCCCAGCCCTCCCATCGTTCCCCTTGCTCCCCCCGTTCCCCTCGCCCCCCACAGGAGGTGAGGCGGCTGGCACAGGAGCTGGAGTTCAGGCGAGACATGAGACGGCATCAGTTCCCCTTGCTCCCTCCGTTCCCCTTGCTCCCCTCATTTCGTTTGCCCTCTCGCCCCCCACACCGTTCCCCACATCGCCCCCCACATCGCCCCCCACGTCGCCCACAGGAGGTGAGGCGGCTGGCACAGGAGCTGATGGAGTTCAGGCGAGTGTCGGCAGAGGAGATGCGGCGGAGCGTGTATGCCAACTACCCTGCCTTCATACGGTCAGTCAGCCACTCCTCTCCTCTCCGCATGGCAAGCGTGTACTGCCAATGAAGTATCGCTTCATACGACTTCAGGCGAGTGTCGGCAGAGGAGATGCGGCGGAGCGTGTATGCCAACTACCCTGCCTTCATACGGTCAGTCAGCCACTCCTCTCCTCTCCGCATGGCAAGCGTGTACTGCCAATGAAGTATCGCTTCATACGACTTCAGGCGAGTGTCGGCAGAGGAGATGCGGCGGAGCGTGTATGCCACCTACCCCGCCTTCATACGGTCAGTCTCTCACTCCTCTCCTCCCCGCATCCGCATGCCAAAGACACTCCTTTCACCTGGGCTGGTCACTGCTTCAAACGCGGAGATTGTATATCAAGTATCCTCTCATACGAGTTCAGGCGAGTGTCTGTCAGAAGAGGAGACGCGGCAGAGCGTGTATGCCAACTACCCCGCCTTCATACGCTCAGTGCGGCCTGGTTCTGAGTCTATTTTGAGAATTCTCAAAAGTTCTTTAAGCAGAACCCTGCTTGCTTTGAGTCTATTTTAGAGACGCCTCAAAGAGGCGCAAGGGCGTGCATACCAACTATCCTGCCTTCATACGGTCAGTGCAAGAGCCACCCCTCTTCCTCCGACCCACTCCCCCGCCCCTCTCCATCCCCACGCACCACCCCCCCCCCCTCACCCCCTCCCCCCTCCCTCCCTTCCCTCCCCACCCCCTCCCCCCATCCCCCTCCTACCCCGGCTCCTTGAACAGCATCCCCACCCTTCCTCCTCTCACTCCTCCCCCTTTCCCACCCTTCCCCCCACCAGCACCTCCAAGCAGATCTCGGCCTTTCAGGTGCAGCTGAAGCGCATGCGCGAGATGCTGACGCTCAACCCCGCCCTAATCCACTCCCTATCCGCCTGTTCCCCTCGTTCCTCCCCGCCGCTCCCCCACCCTTCCCTTCAACAACAGCACCTCCAAGCAGATCTCGGCCTTTCAGGTGCAGCTGAAGCGAATGCGGGAGATGCTGACGCTCAACACGGCGCTCATCCACTCACTGGCGGAGAAGGGCAGCTGCCAGAGCCGCACCATCGCGCTCTCCCTCTTCGCCCACTCCTCGCCGCACCACAGCAGACGCAGGTCTGAAGGCGGGGGCATTCACGATGATGGGTCCGACTCTAGCCATACTCCGGACCATTCTGTGCATTCCTCTCCCCCTGTAACCCCGCATGCGGGTTGGCATGGGGCCGGGGCGAGGGAGAGTGGTCAGGTTTGGGCTGCTGGGAGTGGGGTTATGGTGAAGGATGGGGAGGGGGGAGGGGAGGTGAGGCTGAGGAGGAGGAGGACGAGGGGGAGGGATGGGGAGGGGGAGGAGGAGGAAGAGGAGGAGGATGGGATGGAGGAGGGGTGGGATGAGGAGGAGAGGGAGCCGACGGAGATGGAGCGGTATGCGGAGGCGTTACCGGATGTACTGGATGGGCTTATAACGGAGCAGAAGATTGATCAGGCGATTGAGCTGCTGGAGCAGGGGCAGCAGATGGCGCAGCTCTCGTTACAGTCACATGAGCGGAGGAGGAACAAGGAGGGGGAGTTTGCTGAAGGGGAAGCGGGAGAGGGTGGTGGAGAAGGGGAGGGAGGGGAGGAGGGTGAGGAGAGAGGAAAAGTGTGGGATGGAAAGGGTGGTGGGGAGGAGAGGGAATTAGGGCACGTGGAAAGGTGGTTGCGAGAGGAGGATGGGGGAGGGGAAGGGGAAGAGGAGGGGGAGGAGGCGGAAGAGGAGGAAAAGGAGGAGGGGGAGGGGGAGCACAGAGAGCAACGGAGAGCAGGGTCAGAGCAGGGTTGGGATGAGATGCCTCTCACAAAGAGGTCTCTTACTGGGGGAACGCGTAGAGAGGAGTGGGGGTATGTGTATGAAAGCGTGGGGAAGGGGAGCAGTGTGGATGGTGCGCCCATAGGAGGAGGGGGCTTGAGAGGCAGCTTGAAAGAGAGCTTGAAAGCGGGCTTAAAAGGGGGCTTGAAAACAGGGCCTCGAGCGAGGAGTGTGGAGGAGAACGTGGGGAATGCAGGGTTGGCGGGCGAGAGGTTAGGGAATGGGGATGTGGAGGAGAGCTCACGGCAAGGGGGTAGCTTTCAGGGCAGGAGGCGGAACGCTGCAAAAGCGTCTGCAGCAGCTGCTGCTGCTAGAGCTGTTGAGGCGGCAGCAGAGGGAAGGGAAGGGGAAGGAGCAGAGGGGAGGAAAGAAAGGGCTGAAGTCTTGAATAAGAGGATCATTTCTAACAATAAACAGCAGAGTGTAAAGGGCGGAAACCCCCCTCAGAAATTATCCAGCCAAGGAGGAGAGCACCAGAAAGGAGACACCCAGGGCACGGCTGAAGCCACAGCCACAGGTGGTGATAATAAAAATACTGACAGCACTGTCGTTCCGGGCGGCAGTGAACTCGTTCCGGGCAGCGATATTATCCCTGAAACCGGACCTCCGGCCGGCGGCGCTCCAGCGACCGAGCTTCTAAGCGAGCCGGCCGCGCTGGCGCTGTCAGCAGCAATAGCAGAGCGCCACGTGGTGCTGGTTGCTGAGCTGGAGCGCACAGCAAAGCACTCGGACGTGCTGGGGGAGGAGCTGCGGTTTGCGGTTACCGGGTTGATGCGGCTGGGGGAGCTGGAGCTGGCGCACCAGCTGCTGCTGGGTGCGTATGGGGAGCGGATCAGACGGAGTGCCCGGTCGCTGCATCGGTCTGCAACTGGGTTTGGCGGGTCGTACACTGCTGCTCTTTCTCAGGTGGGTGTCTGTATGTGTGTGTGTAGGGAGAGGGAAGAGGGGGTGGGTGGGTGAGTGTATGAAGCACAGCCCGGCACTCAGACGTGCAGGGAAGAGGGAGTGTTGGGGGAGGAGTTGCGGTTTGCGGTTACCGGGTTGATGCGGCTGGGGGAGCTGGAGCTAGCGCATCAGCTGCTGCTGGGTGCATATGGGGAGCGGATCAGACGGAGTGCCCGGTCGCTGCATCGGTCGGCCACTGGGTTCGGCGGCTCGTACACTGCTGCTCTGTCCCAGGTGGGTGTTAAAGGGGGGATATGGCGGGCTTGGATGGGAATCAAAATGGGAACAGAAGGAGGGGGAAAGGGGGTTAGGTAGGAGGGTGTGCAGTGAAAGGGGGGATGCTGGGTTTGGCGGGTCGTACGCTGCTTCTCTGTGTGAGGTTGTTTCCCACTAACGTGTTCCATTCTCACTCCCTTCCCCAACCTCCTGCCCCCCTCGCTCTCCCCGTATCGGGCTCCCCCCCCTTTCCAGATCGTCTTTTCCGCCATAGCCCAGGCCACAGCCGATTCAGCCATAATATTCGCCGACCAACCAGCCTGCTCCGCGGATCTCCTCCTGTGGGCCCGCCGCGAGGTCACCTTCGCCTTCTCCCTCCTCCGCCGCAACATCCTCTGCTCCGCCGCCTCCCCGGGCGGCCTCCACGCCGCCTCCGAGTGTGTCTGCATCTCCCTCGGCCACGCGCGCTTACTCGAACCCCAGGGGATTTGTCTCGCTCCTATGCTGGGGGAGCTCATGCGTCCCAGTGTTATGGAGGCTCTGGAGTTTAATATCCTGAGGATAGAGGATGCGGTGGTGTCAGTGGCTACGACCGATGAGTGGCGGTTGGAAGCGGTTGACTTGGGTGCGCCGGCGCTGATGAGATTGAGGGGGTGGGGCGGCGTGCTGGGGCTAGGCGGGTTGAGGATTAGGCTGACGCCGAGTGCTCAGCGGTTCTACTTGCTGCTCGTGGTGAGTACTGCTGCTCGTGGTTGTTTGGTTTGTGCTAATGATGGTGGTGGGTGTCAGAATCCCAGCCACTAAACCACTGGGATCAAACGGGTTGTTAAGTAGCGGGTCAGTGCGCTTATAACCTCCCAGCCAAGCGAGCCTTTCCTTAGGATTAATCGGGCATCCCCAGTGCAGGTTTTCTGACACCCGCTTCACAGGGATGCCCTAGGACACGGCACCGCCAACATGTGCGCAATTGGGGATTCTAACCCGAGACCGTTGCTCTGATACCATATCATAATCCCAGCCGCTAGACCACTGGGATAAAATGACTTGTTAAGTAGCAGGGCAGTGCTCCCATAACCCCCCCAGGTCAGCGAGCCTGTAACCCTTTTCTAGTATCAATCGGCCATCCCCTGTGCAGGTCTTCTGACAGTGGGGTGCCTGTTGCTGCTAGGGGGCACATGGGGGTGAGAATCACCTGGTGAGTGTTGGGACTGGGCGGGCTCAGGTTGAGGCAGACAGCGAGTAAAATGTTTTTTTTTTCTCCCTTTTCCCCTTTCCCCTGTTTTACACCCCTCTCTCTCTCTCCCTCCCCCCAGGACCTGGTCGAGGATATACTCCCTGTAATCAGCCTCCATTTATTGGATAAGGTTCTTGATGCCATCGCAACGCAGTTCGAGTGTTTCGCTAGCCTCATGGAGCTGGCGCTACCTGAGATTCCACCTGACGCCACCCTGCCCCCGGCACCTGGCTCTGTTGGTGCTCGGGCACAGAGGCGGAGGCGAGAAAGGGCGCAGCAGTTGGTGGAGGGGGGAGGGGACGAGGGGTGGAAAGGAGGGGGAGTGCGAGGGCAAATGGGAGGGGTGAGTGGGAGTGGGAATGGGGAGGGTGTGATTGTGTCAGACGGAATTGAAGGGGATGTGATGGGAGGGGAAGAGGGAGGGAACGCAGGGGAGGAGAGAGGGAAGGAAGGGGGCAAGAGAGGAAGGGAGGCAGGGGAGAGGAACGGGGAGGTAGAGGGGGAGGAGGAGGAATGGGAAGAGGGGTCCATATCACGGAGCGCGAGTCAGCAGAGGCTGTCAAATGGCGACAGTGCTAGCGCTGCTGCTGCTGCTACTGCTGCCGCTGCCGCTGCTGCTGCTGGGGCTTTAGGTGCTGCTGTTCTTGCTACTGGTGATCAAGAGGACGACACAATCGACCACAGTAACCCGCTTCTGGACCCTCCAGCAAACAGCTGGCACGTGTACCATGTTCAGGAGGCAGAGACAGAGGCGCAGCAGCTGGCTGTGCTGGGGAATGTAGCTGCTCTGGCCGATGAGCTGCTTCCCAGGCTAGCAGTGAGGCTGACTATAGCGGATATAGAGGATGAGGAAGGGTTGGGGTATTTGGGGGAGGAGGAGGAGGAGGAGGAGGGTGAGGAGGGTGGGAGGGGTGGGGAGGGAGATGAAGGGGAGGGTAAGGGGGAGGGTGGGGGGGAGGTGGAAGGCGTGGGAGCAGGGGGAGGGAAAGGGGAGGGGGGGAGTGAGGAGGAGGGGAAGGGTGGGGGCGTGGGGAAGGGGGAGGGGCAGCGGACAGGCGGGAGGAGGAGCAAGACACGAAGCACGTGGCATGAGAGGCAGCAATTGTATGTGCATGATGGGACGGGGTGATGTGGGATGGTGACATGGGCGAGGGTGACACATGGGATGGTGTGGCATGTGGTGGGTGGGATAGATAGAGTGAACATGGCACCAGCCATAGCCATACATGGTGTGCTTTCCCATACGTGGTGGGTGTGACTTGCTGCGTGTTTTTTTTTTTTTTTTTTTTTTTTTTTTTCTGATGTCTCTCTGATTCTTCCCGAGTCATTCCTTGTACCCGTGTTTCAAAACCAGGCTCCACCCTTCCTTGCCCCACATACATTCGCCCACCCTCCCTCTTCCCCCCATCTGCCCACAGCAACCTGGCGAAGCAGAGGCACGGATCCGTAAAATCCTCTTTTGGTGAACCCTACTCCTCCCCTCCCTGAACCTCTCCACCCATCTCCACCGCTCTCCACTCCCCCCTGCCCGCAGCAACCTGGCGAAGCAGAAGGTGTGGAGGGCGAGAATCCAAAGGGCAGCGCGGAGGATTCGGGAGATCTTCTGTGCGTCGCTGTGGGGCGGGTTTGTGTTCAGCGAGAGTGGGGAGCGCGTGCTGTGTGCAGACGAGTACGTGGGCATGGATGATTGCACCAAGCTGCAGCAGTGGATGATGCACCCCCTGCCATCGCCGCCCTTCCAGGTGAGAATGTGTGTGTATGTGGAAAGCCGATGCTTTGTGGTTATCAAAAGAGCCTGCTCACCTTAACTGCTCACCTCGTTTCCCTGCGCCTGCTTCACCCGTCGTCCCTCCTCTCTTCCAGGCACTTTTCCTCACAGTGAATGCCGTGCAATCAAGCCTAGAGCGCGTGCTGAGGGGGCAGGAAGGCATGCACAGGAGGCTGCTGAGACGAGTCATGGAGTGGCTGCTGTCGGGTCTGCTTATAGAGAGTACAATGTGGGAAGACATTCAGGCTGCTGACCCACCCCTTGGGCCCATCGGCCTGCACCAGGTATGGCCTGCACCAGGTATGGCCTGCACCAGGTATGGCCTGCACCAGGTATGGCCTGCACCAGGTATGGCCTGCACCAGGTATGGCCTGCACCAGGTATGGCCTGCACCAGGTATGGCCTGCACCAGGTATGGCCTGCACCAGGTATGGCCTACACCAGGTATGGCCTGCACCAGGTATGGCCTACACCAGGTATGGCCTGCATCAGGTATGGCCCAGCCTTGTACCGTCCGGACCAGGTATGAATCAAACTAGATATGGCCATCCTACCATCCTGCTCCCCCCGCTCGCTCCCCCCTTCTTCTCCCCCCCCTTTTTCCCAGCTCGTGTTTGACAGGTACTTTGTGGTGCAAACTGCTCGCAAGGGGAAGACCATTTGTTAGTCAACATTTCTGTTTCCGTTCTTTCCCCCTTTTTCCCCTCCCCCTGCTTCTCTCCCTTCCCCCCGTCCTTTACCACCACCTCTCCCCCCCCCTCTCTCAGCTCGTGTTTGACATGTATTTCGTGGTGCAAGCAGCGCACAGCGGCAAGATCAGTTTGAAAGCACCATTTTCCCTGTTTGAAACAGCCTCTCCCCCCCCCCCCCCCTCTCCTTCCCCCCTTCAACTCCCTTCCCCCTCTCCTCCGCTCCTCCTCCCTCCCCCAGCTCGTGTTTGACATGTATTTCGTGGTGCAAGCTGCTCACAGCGGCAAGACCTCCTCTCCGCTCATTCGGGGGTTGGCAGAGGATGCCGCCACGCGGGCGATCGTGGCTTACAGTGCACGCACAGGGGAGGACCCCAAGAGGTGAGCAAGGGTCGAGAGCGGTTGGAAGCGGTGGGCTGGCAGAAAGGGGGAGAGGTGGTGCTTTTCTGTAGGGATCCGAGGTTGGCGGAGGATGCCGCCACACGGGCGATCGTGCCTTACAGTGCACGCACGGGGGAGGACCCCAAGAGGTGAGCAAGTGTTGAGAGCGGTTGAATGCGATGGGCTGACAGGACGAAGGGAAGTGGTGTTCACTAAGGATTAGGGGTTTGGCAGACGATGCGGCAACGGGGGCGACTGTGGCTTAGAGTGCACACACGGGGGATGACCCCAAGGGTCGGAGGGTGCAGCCATGCGTGCCATGCCATTCATGCTTACAGCCGATGTACACTTGAGGTTTCTAAGATTGTGAGAGCATGTGCACAGCCATTGAATGTGGTGAAAGAAAGAAGGGTTGTGTGGTACCATCATGAGTGCCTGACACGTCATTCAGTCTTGCACCTGACTTCTCTCAAATTTTCTCCACGCTTCCCTCCTCTCCTCCTTACTCCCTCCTTTCCTCCAGCACCAGTGCCGGACGGTGCTGGAAGAGCTACCGTCTATGTTGCGCCTGACTTTTCCACAAACTTTCTCCCCCTCCTGCCTCCTGTCTCCCCCTCCTTCCACGTGCAGGCTAGTGGAGGAGGACTGGTGGTATCAGCACAAGTGCCGGACGGTGCTGGAAGAGCTACCGTCTATGTTGCGCCTGACTTTTCCACAAACTTTCTCCCCCTCCTGCCTCCTGTCTCCCCCTCCTTCCACGTGCAGGCTAGTGGAGGAGGACTGGTGGTATCAGCACAAGTGCCGGACGGTGCTGGAAGAGCTACCGTCTATGTTGCGCCTGACTTTTCCACAAACTTTCTCCCCCTCCTGCCTCCTGTCTCCCCCTCCTTCCACGTGCAGGCTAGTGGAGGAGGACTGGTGGTATCAGCACAAGTGCCGGACGGTGCTGGAAGAACTTAAAGAAGCAGCAAGCCAGCCCACCAGCCCCACTGTAACATCTATCTCCACTGCCACCACTCCCTCACGTTTTTGTGGCTTCTCTAAAACATCTTTCCACTCTTCCATCCTTTGCTCCTTACCCCTTCCTCCAGGCTAGTGGAGGAGGACTGGTGGTATCAGCACAAGTGCCAGACAGTACTAGATGAGCTCAAAGAAGCAGCAAGCCAGCCCACCAGCCCCACCGCAGCATCTGCCTCCACCACCACTCCCTCAACGTTTGTCTCCGACTCGCCGTTTTCGTGGCTTCACAGCAACAGCATCAAGGGCAATGGGGACGGTGACAGGGGCGCGGGGATGCCAGAGCTCAAGGTAATCAAGCGGTCGGTCGTTTCGTTCTCCGGCATGAGGGCTGCGCCTCCGCCCATTAGAGACGCCCGTAGCTACACCACACTGTGAAGTGTCGCGACGCCATATTTTTCCATGAAAATATTGTGATAGGAAGGAAGTAGTTGGTTTGCTATCAGGGGTCCTGCTTGTTGTAGGTGGGAAGCAGTGGGTAGGATACACAGAAAAATGGCAGTAGCACGTGCGTCAGCTTGACACTCGCGCATATGTTACCAAACGTATAGTGTGTTTGTCAGCTGAGCTGAGAAATTTACCTAGACAAGTGTGTTCCCGTTGCATTATAAACGTGTTTGTGCTGGAAACTCGTTTTTGAAAATGCGTCCCTCTTATTAATATTGATGTAGCTTTAGCCTTGAGCAAATAGATCAGTTGGCTTTTCCCCTTAAGGTACTTTAGTCTGGTAACAGTTTGCTACATCTATTCTGAACATCGTCGCGCAGAAGATTTGCGACCGGATCCAACATGACGTCCTACTATCGCGTACTGCCGCTGTGAAACACTGCTCTACCCTCCCTGATATCTCGAGTTGATGGAATCAGCATCGACTGGTTTTCAAGGCTGCACTGCAGCCCAGCTGCGTTCTGGCACACATGTAAAGGATTGTTAAATTAGCGCCAACGAAGCTGGTCCGCAGCGACCCAGCGCGGCCCAGCGTGGATCAGCGCGGACCAGATTTGGACCAGAATGTTCACTACCTTCAACAGCACGGGGACAGCACTGGAGAGGGTTTGGCGACGACCATTTCCAAAGCTGCCCTGGGCAACGCGAAACATATGTGAAAATTGCGAAACGAGATGTTGCAACGAGACTTGAGCGGTTCCGTTCACGCGTGACCAGGTGTGTCTGGTTTTCTTATGCATTTCGTTTGAGCATCTGCAAAACTTAGTGCCAGCCCATCCGCTCCAAATGGTTCCCGATACAGTACCAGGCTGGGACCACTTTGGTCACTGTAAACTGCTCTCCTCCTTTCGCTGGTCCATTTTCTTGTGAATGGACCAACACACCTAGTGTAACACGCCCTAACACCTCCTAAAGAAAGCCGAAACACGGCACGAAGGCTGACGCGGCAGAGGAAGAAGCATAAGAAAAGCATGACTTTCGAGGAGAGAGGAAGAGGAGGAGAGTTCGACATTTATATGTGCCTCGTCAGCTACCTCGACATTTACATCGGGCTTTTTCCGTCTTTCCACATCTCAATGCTAGCAGCAATTTCACCCACCCGCTTATCTGCAATCGTCTCCTTCCGGATCTCTCTTTCGCTCTTTCTTTTCCTTCTCTATCTCTTCCTTAACCCGAATATTTGTCGCAACAGTAACCTCTACATTCGCCGTCACGGCCGTGTATGGCGACGGCACGGCGAGAAGCACGACTCAGCGCACGGCCAGACGAAGCATGCTGAGAGCCGCGAATGGAGACTTAGAAGCCACGGCGGTGGCGGAAACAGCGAGCAGGAAGGTCAATGCTCGGATTGCACTGACCACCACCGCCGCCACCACCCCCGCCGTTCACAGCACCACTAGCAGCATCTCTGGCAGCGCTGCTGGCAGCACTAGTGGAACAGGAGCCGAGCCGCCGCCGGTAATCACATCAGTGTTCATGACTAATCTGGTCCGGATGAGCTTTCGCAGGCAGCGCTGCTTGAACGTTGACATGTCAGCGAAGCGGTGGAGAACCCGAGCGTTGGTGTTTTGGAACGTGGATTCGAGCAACGAGAAGTCGGGCGGCAAGGCGAGAGGCGTCCAGTGTAAGCAGGTCCTGTTCTTCGACAAAAGCAACTGCAAGGGCACGGCGCGCAATAGCATTCCTAACCCGGGTATGTTGAAGGCTAATGTCAAGTGAGTGGGGTGGGGGTGGTGTGTGTCAGCGATGCCATGTGAGTGGTGGGTGGTGCGGCCGTGTGTGAGGCACGACGAGAGGACACGAACAGCACGTGACTTGGGGAGGGGAGGGGAGGAGGAGGGTAGTAGGGGAGGGGAAGGGGAAATTCTGAAACTGGGCTTCCACTTTCGTGAAAAGTCAACGTTTTGTTTAGTAAGCATGATACGGTCTGCTTTTACTTGCCGCGCCCTTCAGGTTCCCAAGCACGGAGATGGAAATATCAAGTTGGGAGACAGCGGCGTCTATTCTCTGTATTCCCTACGAGCCGCAAAAAGTGAACTCCAGTGGTACGTTCATTGCCGACCCCCTGTAGAAAGGGACACCCTAGAATTATGGTTCCGAAGTCTGTGGTTTCAAAACGTATAATTTCGATAGCGTGTGACTCTGCCACTGCTTGATTTCGAGCAGCGGTGCCTTCCGTTAGGGAATTGCCCTTGTGGCGTCTTTCACTTTATCCCAATGCTCTCTTGCCTGACTGGTGCAGACTCTGCCTACGTCCTTCCCGTGGCGTCTAGAAGCATTCCCATACCTTTATTTTGTGCAGACTCTGCCTACGTCCTTGCCCTATGCCCGTGGCGTCTAGAAGCATTCCCATACCTTTATTTCTTGCCCTTTCCTTTTCGCCGCTGCTGCAGATCCTGCGTGTGCTGCATTGGGATGTGGGCCTGATGGCACTTGTGACGTGGATAAGCAATTCAAAGACCTGTACTGCCAGTGGGGTGAGTATGGTGCTTCAGATCTCCCATTCTCATCGCAACCCATTGCATACGAATTTCATATATCCCCGTGGGATGAGCATGCAGTTCCTGGCAGTGGGGTGAGTGAGCATGCAGTTCCTGGCAGTGGGGTGAGTGATCATGGCGATCCATCTATTGCAATTTTAACTCACATCAACCATTCTCTCAAACCCCATGCCATCCAACAAACCCCATTTTTTCTTTAGGCGCCACACAATGTCATCCTTTTCAACCAATCATTTCCACCCCATGAGAGTGAGAATGTATGATGTTTTTGTGAGAGTCAGCAAGGAATGATTGAACTAGAAAATGAGATGGGTACAAATAGGGAAGCCTAGAAATACTGTACCCCCTATTGTCTAACCCACTACAGCCTAAACAGGCTTTAACATATGTTTGACACACCCCCATAGGCAAAGTGGGGGAGAACAAGAGGTCACAAGACCAGTCAAGAAAAGCAAAGCAAGCTCAGGGTGGATCTCAAGGATACCACACAAATTCCGAGCACAAGCAAGCGGTCAAAAGACCAGTTCACATGCAGTTTGATAATACAACAAGAAGTACAGTTATCACAACCTAGCAAGTGTAAACATGCAGGTAGACATATATAAGGATCACAGTACAAGCAGAGTCAAGAAGTAAGCAAGTGAGGCACAGTAGGCACAAGGCCTAGAACAGTACAGAAACGCTGATGATCACAAGGCTGGAGCGCCTTGGTGAACACATCAGCAGTGTTGGCCCGAGTGGCCACGTAAGCAAGACGAAGCTGACCACGCTGCTGCAACTCTCGAGCAAGGAAGTAGCGCAGAGCGATGTGCTTCGTTCTGTGCTCCAGTCTGTGCTCCTGACACAAGGCAATCATGGCCTTGTTGTCGACGTACAGCACTGGAGGAGAACGAGGCGGCTCTCCAAGGTCGGTCAGCAGGTAGGTGAGCCAGCGTAACTCCTGAGCAGCCATGGCCCCTGCGTAGATCTCAGCCTCACATCTGGAGCTGAGAACAGAAGACGAGCGAGTAGACCGCCAAGAAACAGAGCCGGAGCCAAGGCTGAAGGTGTAACCCTGTGACGACCGCTGCGTAGCCAAGTCGTTAGCCCAAGAAGCGTCTGCGTGACCAGTGAGGACAACTTGAGCCCGTCCTCCAAGCACGAGCCCCATGCCCGACGTACTGCACAAGTAGCGCAACACCCTCTTAGCGGCCTTCCAGTGCTCTGGTTGGTGTCTCCCGGGCGCAATGTAGCGTGCCAGGATGCTAAGAGGGTAAGCAAGGTCAGGTCGAGTGCAGGTCATCAGTATACGAGGCAGCCCACAAGTTCTGGATACGGGCCACTCAGCTCTTAGCAGCATCCATGTGCTCCTTCCTGTGTCGGCCAGGAGCGACATAGCGTGCTAGGATGCTAAGAGGGTAGGCTAGGTTAGGTCGAGTGCAGGTCATCAGGTACATGAGGCAGCCCACAAGCTCTGGATACGGGCCACTCGACTCTACGGACTCGTCCGAAGGTGGAGCTGAGAGCGAGTGACCGGTAGGCAGAGGAGGGGACTGTGGCGAGGAGTACGTGAAGCGGAAGCGCTGAAGGACCTGCTGCACCATGTGTGACTGAGTCAAGGTAATGGTGCGCTGTGCTCTGTCCCGGGTGATCCGCAAGCCAAGATAGCTTGTCAGCTCACCCAAGTCTGTGCACGTGTGCCTCTTCTGCAGCTCCGACTTCACGTGGGCGAGTGCCTCGGTGTCAGCAGTAGCAAAGACCAAGTCGTCTACGTACGCGAGAACGTAGAACGGCGGCAGAGTGGTGTCGGTGCGTAGAAACAGCGACGGGTCAGCAGTAGAAGGAGCAAACCCAAGAGCAGCAAGAGTCGTCCTCAGTGTGTCGTGCCACTCACGAGGTGCCTGGCGGAGACCGTAGACTGGCCGCCGGAGGCTCCACTGGGTACCAGGAGGAAACGACCCAGTGAAGCCAGGTGGGCGGCGCAGCCAGACCTCCTCGTGCAGGCTCCCCTAGAGGAAATCAGTGCTGAAGTCAAGAGAGTGCAGCTCGTAGTCACGCTGAGCGGCGACGTGCAGCAGAACCCGAAGAGTTGTCATCTTCGGGGTAGGGGAGAAGGTCTGGAAGAAGTCAACTCCCTCACGCTGACTGAAGCCTCGTGCAACGTAACGCGCCTTGAAGACAGGCGGAGAACCCGGCGGCCGCTTCACCCTGAAAATCCACATGCCACTGACGATGTTCGCCCCAGGCGGGGGAACCTCGTCGTCGTAGGGACTACGCGGACAGCGAGGACAGGCGACTCCGGACAGTGCGGACAGCGTGGACAGGCGACTCCGGACGAGACTCAGGCGACGCAGGACGAGACTCAGGCTCACGACGCTCCGTAAGACCGCTAGTCGGTCCAGAGTAAGGAGAAGGACCAGGTAGTGGAGAGGCTAGCTGTAACTGTGACTGCGACTGGACAGGCGGTGGACTCAGTAGGGGAGGAGTAGGACCAGTAGAAGGCGGGAGGCCAAGAACCTGCTGAAGGAGCGGAACGTAGTACGGTCGCGGCCGCGCAGCACCTCCTGAACCAGCAGAGACAGCACCAGCACCCTCAGCTCCAGGGTCTCCAGCTACAACTCCCGCAGCACCACCAGCAGCTCCAGCAGCTCCATCACCTCCAGCTCCAACTCCCGCAGCAGCTCCAGTCCCAGTACCTCCAGTACCTCCAGTACGAGCACCTCCAGGACCAGCGGCACTAGCAGCTCCAGCACCAGCAGCACCTCCAGCAGCTCCAGCACCAGCAGCACCTCCAGCAGCACCAGCACCAGCAGCACCTCCAGTAGCTCCAGCACCAGCAGCACCTCCAGCAGCACCAGCGCCAGCAGCACCTCCAGCAGCTCCAGCACCAGCAGCACCTCCAGCAGCTCCAGCACCAGCAGCACCTCAAGTAGCACCACCAGCAGCTCCAGCAGCACGGCTACAGCGCCGAGCGTACCACTCACGAAGCTGTCGTGGAGAGAGGGGCTCCCGCCGCGACGGGACACTCGGAGGACCTCCAGTCTCAGCACCCCCAGACTCAGCAACCCCAGGCTCAGCACCCCCAGGCTCAGCACCCCTAGACTCAGCAACCCCAGGCTCAGCACCCCCAGGCTCAGCACCCCCAGACCCGGCACCCGCAGGCTCAGCACCCCTAGCAGCACCAGAGTCAACAGCTACCTCAACAGGCTCGACTGCGTCTACCTGAGACACACCTGAGGGGGCAGGACCCTGAGGGGGGAGGGGGTCTACCGGAGGAGTATCTGGCGCGAGGAAGAGCGGCGTGGGGGGGAGGGGGGCAGTGCGGTAGGGGAAGAGACGGTAGTAAGGAACCGACTCGTCAAACGTGACGTCCTGAGAGGACAGAACACGGCGCGAGGTGGGGTGGTAAAACTGCCAACCAGGAGCGTCAGGGGGGAAGCCAAGGAAGACGCAGGGAACGGCACGGGAGGACAGCTTGTCCGCAGACAAGTCGCGGACGAAAGCTCGAGATCCCCAGACACGGACTGCAGACGCGTCGCCAACCTTCCCCGTCCACCGCAGAGTGGGGGAAGGTCTCCGGCATGGAGACCCGGGGCTGGAGGTTGATCTGATGCGCCGCGTACTGAACCGCGAACGGCCACAGAAAATGGGAAGCAGCCGCATGTATCATGGACGTACGAGCGACATCCATGACCATGCCAATGCGGCGCTCGGCAATCACATTTTGCTGTGGAGAGGCCGGAAGCGTGAACGTCTGGCGGATGCCCTCCGCCCGACAGAAAGCTCGCAGAAGGTCGGAGGAAAACTCTCCACCTCTGTCCGAGTGCAGACGCAGAACAGGAAAGTCCGAGCCGAAGCTCTGCCTGAGCTGGAGACGAGCTGCGCGGATCCAATCGATCAACACCTCAGTGACCTCACCCTTGCGGCGCAAGGGGAAGACCGTGGTGTAACGCGAGTTGTCGTCAACAACCAGCAGGAAGTAACGCTCGTGACCCTGTCCATGGACGCGGGCTGGGCCCCACACGTCCATGTGAAAAGTCTGCAGTGGAGCCTTTGTCGGAGGAAACTCGGAGGAGTGAGGAGCGGCGCGCTGTCGGCCCTCGACGCAGGGAACGCAGGTGGGGGCAGGCCCCGGAGGAAGGGGAGGGAGGGACCGGGGGAGACCAGAGACAAGGACACGGGAGGCCATGCCTCGGAGACGAGGCAGGGAGGGGTGACCAAGGCGGTGGTGCCAGAGGAGAGTCTGGTGAGACAGGAGGCGACACGAGCAGGGGGCAGACTCAGGACCAGACCGGGACGCTGCAGCAAACACCTGACCAAATGCAGCTACCTGACCAGACTCAGCAACAGGAGGAGACACAGTAGTCAGGGTGTACAGGCTCGACCCTGGCTGACGAGCGAAAGTGGCCAGGTGCCGTCCCGTTCGAGTACACGAACAGTGGGTCACCCGCTGACCTCCAGGAGTGAACTGGTCAACCCACGCGTCCTGAAGGTCAGCTCCACTCACCAAGTTCGTGGAGAACGAGGGGAGGTGGAGGCCAGACAAAGAGCCAGACGGGACCGCCGGACACGGCAGAACCGTGGAGGAGTGCGCAAGGACCGGACCCCCAGAGGGGTCAGCCAGAGAGACTGCCACTGGCCGACTGAGCGGCGAGAGTGTGGTGCAGTCGCGAAAGAAGGAGCGGGAACCACCCGAGTCAAGGGTGAAAGTGTGCAAGACCTGAGCCGACGCGGTACCTGAGAGAGCAGCCTCACCAGCACCTGGAGCAGCAGACTCACTAGCACCTAGAGCAGCAGCCTCAATGCCCGGGTCGGGCGGAACACACAGGTAACAGTCACCCTCAGCACTAATAGACACAGCATACATAGCAGCAAGGATAGCATCCTAATCAAGATCAAAGATAGCAACCCCCAACTCAAGCAGAATATCCCAGCGAGGGATCTCAGTGGAGCCAGGGAACTGTGTACGCCAGGTGTCAGTCAGGCGGCCGAAGCAGCGTGGCGTGGTGTGCGGGCCGCCGCACGTCTCTCCACTGCGGTCGCCGGTGCGAAGAACGTAAGTGCAGGGACCAGCACCCCCAGACCTCCCACGCCCAGCGTACCACTCACAGAGCTGCTGAGGCGACGGGGTCTCACGGGAGCACTGCTGCTGCTGGCGCTGGCCACCGCTAGAGCCTCCCCGCTGCCCACCACCGCCCCCGCCACCCCCACCTCCGCCGCCGCCGCCGCCACCTCCACCCCCACTCCCGCTACCTCCGCCGCCTCCACCTCCACCGCCGCCACCGAAGCCCCCACTCCCGCCACCACTCCCACCTCCACCCCCACCCCCTCCGCCTCCTCCACCGCCACCACCGCCGCCCGCGCCATCCCCTCCACCCCCCTTGCCCCCCTTGCCCTTGCCCCAGCGGCGCTTCCCACTAGGGGCAGACGCAGCGCCAACCGACTCGGTGCCAACGAGGTCGACAGCAGCAGCAGAGGCAACAGAGGGCAAAAGAGGGACGGGGGAGCACCCCTCAAAGAAAGGGGCACGAGGGTCACCACGAGAGGCTCCTACAGCGACTATACTCTTCTCAGCTGCAAGGAGGCGCTCCTCGAGGAGGTCAACGGTGAGCGTGGTGGGGCAAAGGGAGAGGAAGTGGTCCCTGACCGAGCGAAGGGAGTCAGGGAGCCGGGTGACGAGGTAGTAGAGAGTGATGTACATAGGGGGGGGGTTCTTGGCGCAAAACTCGGCAGGAAGCGCAGCGCGGTAGCGGGTGTCACTAGTGCGGAGGTGCGTAATGAGGTCAGCGACTGTGGCAAAAGCGGCTAGGTCAGGGAACAGGTACGGCAGCATGAGGCAGCTAAGGGCAGCAGTAGCAGGGGAGGAGTAGCGCGCAACAACAGCAGCGTACAGAGTGCTAGCAGTCTTGTACTGGCTAAAGTGCGCGCGCTCAGCAGACGGCAGGTGACTACGGACAGCAAGACGGGCAGCAGCATCGCGCGTGGTCCACTGTTAGCGAACAGTACTGGCAGCATCAGCAGCAGGAGCAGCAGAGGCGCCAGAAGTGAGGTCAAAAAGTGAGACTCCATCCTTGCTATCGCACTGCAGGAACAGCTGCAGATCATCGACCCAGACCTCAAAATCGACCGCTCGACCCTCAGCATCGAAGGTGAGTACGTTAGGGCTGGCCATAGCAGCAGGAGCAGCAGCAGTGGCCTAGTGGCAGCAGCAGTAGCGCGACTCGGCAGGGCGGCGCGGCTCGGCAGGTCGGCGCGGGCGCAGCGGCGCGCGGGTGCGGCGGTGCGCTTACCAGTGGCGGGAGTAGAGGGCCGGGGCGCGTCGGTAGGGCAAGGGGCCGCCACAAGGAGGGGCCGCGGCGAGGCGGCAGGGCAGGGCCGGGTCAGCAGGGCCGGCAGGGCGGCTGTGTCAGAATCCCAGCCACTAACCACTGGGCTAAAAGGGCTTGTTAAGTAGCGGGTGAGTGCGCCCATAACCCCCCAGGCCAACGTGCCTGTAACCCTTCCCTAGGATCAATCGGGGATCACCAGTGGACCTCTGACACCCCCCCGCACTGGGATGCCCGAAGTGCACACACTGGGATTCGAACCCGAGACCTTCGCTCTGATAGCATGTAAGAATCCCAGCCACTAACCACTGGGATAAAAGGGCTTGTTTAAGTAGCGAGTGAGTGCGCCCATAACCCCCCAGGCCAACGTGCCTGTAACCCTTCCCTAGGATCAATCGGGGATCACCAGTGGACCTCTGACAGGCTGCAGGCTCGGCAGCGGCAGCAGGGCCGCTACGGCGGCAGCAGGGGCGACGGCAGCTGCTGCAGGGCAGGTGGCTGCGACAGTTGCGGCAGGGCAGGGGCCGCGACAGCTGCTGCAGGGGCGGCGACGACGGGGCGGCAGGGCCGCTACGACGAGCAGGCGGGCGGCGACGACGGGGCGGCAGGGCCGTTACGACGAGCAGGCGGGCCGCGAAGAGCCGCGAAGGGCCGCGAAGGGGCCGCGAAGGGCCGCGAAGGGGCCACGAAGGGCCGCGAGGGGGGCGCGAAGGGCCGCGAAGGGGCCGCGAAGGGCCGCGAGGGGGGCCGCGAAGGGCCGCGAGAGGGGCCGCGAAGGGCCGCGAAGGGGCCGCGAAGGGGCCGTTAAGGGCGGCAGGGTGGACCGCTAAGGCCGAAAGGGCGGGCCACTAAGGGCCGCTTTGGCAGCAGGAGGGCAGAGCGCGATGCGCGCTTCGGTTAGGGTAGGGAAAAAAAAAAATCGACGTGGTGGGCCCAAGGGAAAACGGTCCCACTAGGGAACCCGCTCTATACCATGTGAGAATCAGCGAGGAATGATTGAACTAGAATATGAGATGGGTACAAATAGGGAAGCCTAGTAATACTGTACCCCCTATTGTCTAACCCACTACAGCCTAAACAGGCTATAACATATGTTTGACCGTTTTCTCTTTCTACTGGCCTACCTCCTTTTCCTCTTAACTGCACTGCACTCATGCCCTCCCCTCACCCATGATGGTCGTTCTAGCACTGTATTGCTGCTCCCTCTCCCTTGCTTCTCCCTCTCCTCCCTTGCTTGTCGCTCTCCTCCCTTGCTTCTCCCTCTCGTCCTTGCTTCTCCCTCTTCCTTGCTCCCCCCTCTTCCTTGCTTCTCCCTCTTCCTTGCTTCTCCCTCTTCCTTGCTTCTCCCTCTTCCTTGCTTCTTCCTCTTCCTTGCTTCTCCCTCTTCCTTGCTTCTCCCTCTTCCTTGCTTCTCCCTCTTCCTTGATTCTCCCTCTTCCTTGCTCCCCCCTCTTCCTTGCTTCTCCCTCTTCCTTGCTCCCCCCTCTTCCTTGCTTCTCCCTCTTCCTTGCTCCCCCCTCTTCCTTGCGTCTCCCTCTTCCTTGCTTCTCCCTCTTCCTTGCTTCTCCCTCTTCCTTGCTCCCCCATCTTCCTTGCTGCTCCCTTGTGTGCTGCGTTCTTCAGCCTCACCAAGTGGCGCCTGCCACTCTGGAGCCCCAAACCCCCACTAGCATTGCACTCACATCCCGCACTGCACCCATCCCCACCCCTCAGCCTCACCCTGTGGCGCCTGCCCCACCGGAGCCACCTGCAAAATCGTGCCTTGGGGAGACAAAGAGAGGGTGGAGGTGCCTTACTGCGCGTGCCCTAAAGGCTATGGGATTACCCCGACCAAGTGTGTTAAGGGTGAGACTCATTGATGCATGTTCGCGTGGCCCATTCCCTCCTCTCATGCCCCCCACTCACTCCCCTCCCCCTCTTTTACCACTCTTTGCTCCGCCTTTCTTGTTCTGTCAAGTTGGCTCATCTGGTTTCAGTTGTGGGAATGTGATATTGTATGTATTAGTGTACGAAGGTACGTATGAATGTGGGGATGCATGGCGACGTGTATGATTGTGGGAACATCTAACAGTAAAGACAAGCATTGCACAGAGTCCTTCCTTTGTCCTTCCTTTCACAGGTCGAGCTTCCACCGTTTCTTCATCCAGCATCACAATTATCGTCGATCAAACAGCCTCGGATTTCAATTCTCGACCCTACACATTTCGCGCCGAGATCAATAGCTGCACTCAGTTTCCAAATGCACTGGTCGGGAAATTCACGGCAATACTTGGTGTAGACAACATCGGCGATGCTCCCAAATGCACCAATTTCAAACACTACCCAGCCGATAACTGTGACAGTGACAGGGTAGGAGAAGACTCCTTGGAAGACACTCCGAAGCTGTTTTCTTCATATTCATGGTGAGCGATTGATTGTTTTCCACCCGCACAATTGCATACATTATGTACTTCCCATTTTGCACCATTTTTCAAAGACCACATTTCCGAGTCATCCTCTTTTGTCCTCCCCTTGTTACCATAAACCAGGGACAAGAATGCCAGTGCTTTTGACCACTCAGTGTTTTGCAGTCGTTAGGATGACATCAATGGCAGCAGCACTGACTTTGCTGTCATCGGCACATGCTTTGCCTTAAATTTATCCGATTTGAGGATTGTAGTTGTGTACGCGTGTACTGTTTGAAACGCTGGAAACGAAACTACTTCTGAGTTTGGATTGGATGTTGTTTCAACATTGGTCCTGAGTGGGACGAACCCCTCCCAGCCACTTCACATTACACATTCCATGCAATGCAGTGCCATGGCATGGAAAACGTCCCTGTGAGTGAAACTTATCAGATTATACATTTCAAATCTTGGACTACAGTGAGGGTACTCTCTAAAGGGTAAAACCCATTGAGGGTTTCCCATATGTATCTGTAAGGAATTTTCTCGATATTCCTTAGCGTGCCCTGCAACATCGCGTACAGCAGCAGCCGTTGTTCGCCCGTTACTGCTAACGGGGCTTCGCCGACTTCGCGCGCACTGTTTCACCAAACCTCGCACTGCTGGCCTGGGCGTGTCGGCCTACGCTTCGGGACTAGCCCGAGCCTCGCTTCCAGCGTAGCACTAGCTAGCTCGCACGCACCGCGTTACCGTTTGCATGTTTCGCGTATAAATGTTCGCTCATGCCTTCGCTCACAGTTTGTACTCGTTTGACACCTTAGTGCAATTCTCGCTACTTCGATCCATTGCACCCAAAACACTTGGTATCAGAGCCTCTTTCCTTTTCGGACCGCGCATCTCCGCACCCCAGGAAATCAACTTTTGATTTTTCACTCGAAGGGACTCACGCACCTTAGCACCTAGGAGCCGCTGTCCTCGCGTTCTCTCGTAAACGCGTGCAGCCACGACTGCGCCTAGACTAAGACGAGCCGACGCCCTTCGGAATGGCCGAACATATTGACGTCACTAACCTCACGCAGGACCGCCTGGACGAGTTGCTGCGACAACTGCACGAAAACTCCGAAGAAATCGCGGCATTAACGGCGGAACGCACCTCCCTGCAAAATGTCCTCGCACGAACACAATCCCAAGCACCTTGCACTCCGATTCAGCCCGCACCACAGACATCGCAACACGGAAGTGTGGGGCAACCCGCGAGCGCCGCAAGTGATGGCGTCATCTGCCATGACGGAGACGACGACCACGGCACGACGCACCCCGACGCGACGAATGCGGCCAGGAATCAGCCTCGAGTCACTATTTCTGTGCCGACCGGCGAATCAGCTCTATGGTCGCCGATGCCGCTGAAGCCGCAGCGTCCGCCATGTTTTGACCCAAGTCAGCGGGGTGGTCCTACCGTTCAGGCGTGGCTCTTCACGTTGAATGTCTTCTTCGACGCGAACTACGTCTCGGAGGATACGGCGAAGATTCGCTACGCCGTGTCGTTGCTGCGAGGACCCGCCATGGACTGGTGGCGTGTCATCGTCACGAAGCCGGTGGACTACGCGACTCTACCGACACGGGAAGGACAAACCGGACCCTGGGCGCCGTCGTATTTCGTGGAGGTGCCCTAGTATGGCACGTGGGACGCGTGGTGCGCAGGTCTGCGCGCTCGTTTCGAGCCAATTGCGGCTTCGATCGCGGCGCGACAGAGGCTCCGCACTTGGCGCCAACTCGGTTCCGTCCAAGACTACACGAGCGGGTTTCTGGCGCTATGCGAGCAAGTGGGTTATATGCACGAGAGCGAACGCATCGACCGCTACATCTGCGGCCTGAAGCAGGACATCGCTCAGGAAATCCAGCTTCGCGGCAACACCGATTTTCAGGAGATTCTCGCCATGGCGGAGAAACTCGATTTCTTCCGCCGACCGAGACCGGGGTCCTACGGAAGCAGCAATTGGGGACATCGGCCTCGTGGGACGAACAAGGGCGCTACGATACGTGCCGTCGCCGCAAATGCCGCTGCCGCACCATTCAAAGGGCGCTGCTTTGCGTGCAATCGGCCGGGACACCGTAAGAGCGAATGCCCGGAAAATGCTAAGGGAAAGGGGGAAGCTGAGCAGCAGAAACAGACCAAGCAGCAGGGAAACGCTGGGAGTCAATAGCAGGCGGGCCCTCTACTGACAGGTCACACCGCTCGCCCGACCCAACCGACCCTCACCGAGTGATTGTGCCGGTTCACGCAATCGACCACACCCAGCCGAATAAGGAGGGTACTACGGTAGACAGCCCTATACTGCTTAGTGGGAAAATCGGGACGGACTTAGTTAAAATATTGGTAGACGGAGGGGCCAGCCACAGCCTTATCAACACCGCCACAGCACGAAAACTGCGACTGCCACTAGACAGATGTTTACCTGAGATCGACGCAAGACTGGTCGACGGCACGCCACTGGCGATACGGGAACGTGTGGACCGAGTTCGGATCCGATGCGGGGGTAATTTTACGTTTGGCCAGGAAATGCTCGCAACGACCCTCGACGGAACCGACATTTCACTCGGGCGTGATTGGCTGCGACGACACAATCCGCGAATCGACTGGACGACGGGTGACTGCACTGTGCGAGTGAACGGTAACAACATCGCCTTACCTCGTTGGGGCTCGCCTGAGTCTTCGTCGGTGCGTGTCAACGCGATCACGATGAAACGCGCCGTAGCGGCAGGAGCTGACGTGTACGCGGTTGACATTCGGGAAGCCGAGGCAGCAGACAAAGGGGGGGGTTTACAGAAACTGCTAGCCGACGTACCGAGTGATCTGGCAGCACTGTTGAAGCAGCATAGTGACATTTTCCCGGACGACCTACCGACGGGACTGCCACCTCAGCGACCGCACGACCACAGGATAGAACTAGAACCAGGGGCACAGCCGACAGTACAGCGACAGTTCCGACTGACCCAACCCGAACTGGATGAACTGAGGAAGCAGCTGGATTACCTGCTCGAGAAGGAGTTCATTCGCCCTAGTTCGTCGCCCTTCGCAGCACCGATACTGTTCACACCGAAAAAGGACGGGGAGTTTCGCATGTGCATAGACTACAGAGCACTGAATAGGGTTACCATAAAATCCCGTTACCCCATTCCACGAGCCGACGAACTGATTGACCAACTGCGCACAGCCCGGGTTTTCTCGAAAATCGACCTTCGGGGAGTTTACCACCAGATTCGCATCAACCCACCCGACTGCCCTAAGACAGGCTTCCGAACACGCTACGGATCCTTCGAATACACCGTCATGCCCTTCGGACTGACCAACGCCCCCGCCACTTTTCAAATGACCATGAACGACGCCTTCCACCCGCTTTTAGATAAGTGCGTCATTGTGTACCTTGACGACATACTGATTTACAGCCCCGACAGAACACTGCATTTACAGGACATCGAAGCAGTTTTTAAGATACTGAGTGAGAACCGCCTACTGACAAAAGCGTCTAAGTGTGAGTTTTTACAGGACCGACTGGAGTTTTTGGGACACATCATTTCAGCTGCAGGAGTGGAAATAGACCCGAAAAAGATTGCGACGATTCAAGCATGGCACGCGCCGACCAACTTGACCGAGTTGCAGAGTTTTCTGGGGTTCGTCAACTACGTGCGCCGGTTCGTCCCCGACATGGCGAAGCTGACTGCCCCGTTGACCGACCTGCTGAGGAAGGGGGTTGAGTACACATGGGGGGAGAAAGAGCAAGCTGCCTTCTCGGCCCTCAAAAATCTTTTGTGCTCACCACCCGTGCTTCACATCGCAGATCCGCACCGTTCGTTCGAACTCGTCACCGACGCTAGCGACATCGCTGTGGGAGCAGTACTGTTGCAGGACTTCGGGAACGGCCTTCAGCCAATCGCGTACGAGTCCCGCAAGCTTCACCCGCCCGAACGCAACTACCCGATACACGACCGCGAGATGTTGGCGATCGTGCACGCGTTCAAAGTGTGGCGATGTTACCACACGGGAGCAGATGTGACAGTACAGACAGACCACCGATCCCTACAGTACCTTCGCGCCCAACCGAATCTCAACCCACGACAGATCCGCTGGTTGGACTATCTGGAGTCCAACTTCCACTACACGGTCACGTACAAAAAAGGCGCATCCAACATCGCCGACGCACTCACACGCCCCACCGCCCAACTCCACGCCATCCTACTCGCCCAAACCAACCCACTGTTAACAGGCCTATTCACCCACGGATACAGTACCGACCCATTTTTCACGACCGGAAATTCACAGCAACCGGCAGAGGCCAGAGGAGTCTATTACGTAAAAACAGGCACCAACCGCATCTGGGTACCCGCGTACTCACTACTGAGGGAACTGTTACTGCAGGAGGCACACGACGGGATTACCTCTGGACACTTCGGGGTAGAAAAAACGCGACAGCAACTGTAGCGGTATTACTACTGGCCGGAGCTGTTGACCGACGTACAGCACCACGTGGGCTCGTGTCCTACGTGTCAGGTGATGAAGAGCTCGCGAAAAAGAAAGGCGGGTCAGTTGCAGCCGATTCCACCGCCTGAGCGCGCCTGGCAGCAGGTTACCATGGATTTCGTCACGGGGTTGCCTTCGAACCCTGGGGGTAACGACGCGGTTATGGTCGTCGTTGACAGGTTGACGAAGATGGCACACTTCGCTGCGTGCAAGAATTCGATCTCAGGCGAAGAAACCGCTCGCCTGTTCATCGCAGCCGTCGTTCGACCGCACGGGATACCAGCCGCGATAATCAGCGACCGCGACACGAAGTTCACCAGCAACTTCTGGAAAAACCTCTGGGAGCAGTTCGGGACAAGGCTACAGTTCAGCTCGTCGTACCACCCCGAGACCGACGGTCAAACGGAGCGGACGAACCAGACGATGGAGCAGTTGATTCGTGCCACGTGCGACGACCCGACCACTTGGGAGCAGCAGCTGCCGCTGATCGAGTTCGCGT